AATATAAATATCGTTAAAAGTGTTCTCATAGTAAAAAATAAAATAAAATAAAATTGAGATTCATACGCGATAATTTGAGGAGTTGAATGGTGGGCCAAGCATTTGATGATCAAACGCGTTATGGGGTTCGTTTGTTGGTCTATTCATTAAAGGTCCGAATCTTTGAATATGATCATTGTTGTTGTTCGTGACCTTAAACGAGCCCGGTGAGTTAAGGTGCGTTTGGGTTAGAAGTTGCAATGTTTCGGTCTCGTTGTATATGCCATCTCTTCTTCGGGAGTTGTCGATCCCAATCGAATTCACATTGTTCTGAAAGTAATTATAAGTTGATTATGATTACTATTATTGAAAAAAAAAAAGGAATGAGCAAAATTAATTAAAAGTCGAAGTAATTATTAATACATAATTAAGTACCTCATGAGGCCTTGATGTAGAGTTGCCTAAACTGAGGTCCAGATTATGGTCTGCTGCACTACTACTGGAAGGCTCTGATGTCCAAAGGAAAAAATAAAAAAAATAAAAAAATTATTGCCAATTATCCAGTAGCTAATTCAAGAAATTTAAGGTCTTAATTTTATAAAAAATGAAAAGAACAAATTAATGTTCATAATAAATTACCTGCAGCACTGAGTTCTTCTTTATAAGTACTGGGATCAAAATTGGTGACAGCTTCCTTCCCATTGCATTTGATTGCTGCTTTATCATAAGCCCTAAAAACATGACAAAATTAAAAATAAAAAAATTACAATTCAACCCCATTGGAAAATTTAATCACAACAAGCATAATTTTTATTTTCAGTGGAAAATAAAAAAACCCACCTGGCAGCTTCAATTTCTGTATCAAAGAGACCCAAGTAGACATACCTGTTCAAACAATGGTACCGTATTTTTTTAAAATAAAAAAAAAATCTTGATCTAGGATTAAATCACAAAATAAAGAAGCTTATATGATCATATAGAGTTAATTTTTATTTTATTTAAAATACTTTTTGCCCAGAAATTGGCCCATTCTTGCTTCCCATCTACCACATTTATGCAGAGTGACCCCTCTATACTTTGAACTCCCTCTTGGAAAACCAGTGCTTTGTCTCCTTAGTACATGCACAAACTCCTCCTTTGTTAGATTGCTCATCTGAACAAAACAATAATAATAATAATAATAACAATACAATCAAAATAATAAAATGGCACCATACAATATAAATTCTTGCTGATAATTTTTTTGTTGGAGGAAAAAGGTAAGATATGTGGGGGAATTAAATGAAACAAAAAAGACAAGAAAAATACATGTCTTTCTCTCTCATCCCTTGTTTCTCTACAAAATGACATATTTACCTGTTTTAAGTCATCTTCATAATCCTCCAAACTAAAGTTTATGTCTGCTTCCACTCCTCGGAACTTAATTGCTGCCCTATCATATGCACTGCAAATTTAGACATTCAAAAAACAAAGAAAGAAAGATTATAAGAAGAAGCCAGTTTTTATATAAAAATCCAACAATTAATTATATACCTTTTAAAAAGGATATTAATTGAAATAGCAAGAAGAAGCTCACCAGGCTGCAGCATGAGCTGTATCAAAACCACCTGCAAAAAATACCCACACAATTTGAACCCCAAAACTAAGTCAATCAGATCTTAATTCCACAAACCCTGAATTTTATTTTATTTTTATTCAAGAAATGATTTTTATGATGAGAATTGGAAAAAAACTAACCTAAATAAACCTGCTTTCCACAGTCCCTGGATCACAACTCAAAAGGAATCAAAATAGGTTGAATTTGCATGTGAATGATAAAATATTGACTTTTGTTAAAAAAAAGATGGAAAAAAATGCAATCTTTACTTTTATTACCATATGTGCGACTCCCACCGACCGGTCCTCCGGTAGAACGTGACCCCTCTGTACTGGGAGCTCCTCGACCGGGGACCACGGCGGCTCTTCTTGAGCGGCTGCGCCGCGTCAGCCGCCGCCGGAAGCTTTCCCGGCGCGGTCCCACCGCCGTGCTCGGGCCGGCAGAACTTGACCCCCACCCAGTGGGCCGCCCTCGGGAAATCGGGTGGCGCCCCTCCCCCGGCCGCCGTCGTCTCCGGCTCCTCCACCGGAAAAAACTGCCGCGTCACCGGAGAGGAGCTCCGGCCGCCTCCACCGCAGCCGTTCCCCTCGCCCAGAGAGAACCCGAAGATTCGGCTGGTCTTCTTCCGGGCGCCGGTGGCCCTCTCGGCGTCATCTTCGTCGGAGCAGTCCTCAACGACCACCGCCGACGAGCCCGAGTTCGAAAAGGACCCGACCCGTTTCCCCTTCTCGCCCTCCGACCCGCCGTCCCCTCTCCGATCCGGCGAATCATTGAGATCCCACATTTCTCCGGACAACATACGATGGAAAGTAAAGAAAAAGGGGGAAATCAAGAAAGACAAATAAATAGAAAAAATGGAAGAAAAAAAATGTCTGAATACTAAAAAAAGGCTCTGTTTAATGAAAACAAAGAAAGAGAAAATATTGGTTTGCTCCCTTTTTTTTTTTCTTCTCTTTTCACTCCTTTATATTGGGTTTCTGAATACTGATCAGCAGAGTCTCATCAAGAAACAGGGCAAAATAAAAAAATTTAAGAATATTAAAGGATAAAGAAGAAAAATTAACCCTTGGGTTCTGCAAAAGTCTCTCTCTTTGAGCAGTAGAATTAGGATTTATATATATATATATATATGTGTGTGTGTGTGTGTTTGTGTGTGTAGTGGGTGTTACAGTAGATTATGCATAGCCTCTTAAAAGAACATAAAGAAGCTAACCTCCATAGACTTCCCCAAAGAAAATTGAAATAAATAAATTGGTTTCTAAATAGAACTTCAAACTGTTCGACTAAATGCCTAAAAAAGCCTGCAAACTTCTATTCTGTCCCCCTCTAATGCATAGACGATGCCGGATTTTCAAAATCAGCACAAACCCCTTTTGGTTTTTCTAATTTCTCCCCTTTTTTTTTTCTATTCCTAAGAAATAGGAATGTTGTAGATGAGGGATTTTACTTTAAGACCTAAATAAACAGGGAACCTTTCTTTTTACTTTTTCTTTCTAATTTTTTTTAGTTTCTATGTTCAATCAAGTCATAACTACATGAGACATTGATTTTCTGGAACTCTTTCCATTTATATATATATATACATTTCTTCTTACATATACACCTACGCTGTCTAGACGTATTTGATTCATTTAAAATTACAATTTTAATCTATTTTACATCTTTTTAATTAAAAATCAATATTACTCAATATTAATATATACTACTTCCTATTCTTTTTTAAATGTCATTTTGGCTTTATTAACTATTAACAAAATAAATGTCGTATTATTACCTTCATTTAGCTAATAAATACACCACGTCTTTTTATATTCACTCTTCATTTTTTTCCAAAACATCATTCCCTATCTTCATTAAAGAGGGTTATTATTGGTAAAAAAAAATATTCTTAATTACTGTGCAACTTCTTAAAACGATACTCCCTCCATTTTGAAATATAAGGCGTATAAAGAATTCTCATTTCTTTTGAAATATAAGGTGTGCTCAAAAATCAAGACAAATTTTTGCATTTTTTTCCAAATATACCCTCATTGTGTTGAAATTAAGGAAGTGTGGAGTGGTTGTGATTAGAGTAAATAAGGTTAATTTTAGTCAATTTATTCATTAATTAATGTCTCCTTAATATTTGTGCAATAACCTTAAATGCCTTATATTTCAAAATGGAGGGAGTACTTATTACGAATAGGAGGGAGTATTTATTAATAAAATTACTATATATTTATTAATAAAGTTACTATATATCCATTTATTTACATATCTAAAAGTATCAGTATTATTTTTACATTATTAAAATTTTTAACATAAATTAATATGATATAAAGTATAACATTAAAATATGATATGATAAGAAAATTATAAAATAATGATGGATAGTTATAAATATGTTAGTGAACAATTATATATATATATATAATTTATGCTATTGAATGTTTAATAATTTTCCAACTCATTTTTTCATGTAATTTTAAAAATGAACTGCTACATTAAATTAATTAGGCTGTGTTTGATAGACAAATAAACTAGCTTATATCTTATTTAGTTAGCTTATAAGCTCTCTGTATTCAAATAAGCCTTGTTTGGTAGGACGAGGTTTTTTAAAAAGCTCAAACTTTTTTTATAAGCTTCTTTAGGTAGCTTTTCAAATAAGCTACTTGAGTTTTTTATTCCAGCTAGCTTATCAGCTAATTTTATCAAACACTTTTATCATATAAACTAGTTTTTTAGCTATCGGCTAGTTTTACCAAACATAGCCTAAGTATATTACTATTTTTTTCTAACTATTCTATCATATAATAATTACTGCTAATTTTAACTAGTTATGAATTACAAGATTTAAAAAAGTTACATACTTATAAAAATTATAATAAAACTTTTTCTTCAACCTATTTATTTCAAAATGAATATTATCTTTTTATTTTATCTCATCAATGAATTTTTTAGATAGCTAGTTGGTTTTAGTCATATCACAAACCCTTTAAAATTTCGTAAATAATTGTTATGAAATATTTATTTCAACTAATTAATTGGCCACGATTTTTTAAATATGTAAAAGAAAATGCATCATTATACTTCTTGCAATCCGTATAGTGATTCATATACAAGTGGATTAGTATAGTAATATTGTTTATTTTTACTAATTATTAAATTTATTAGATGTGATATGTTTATTATATAACTTATAATTTTAAGTATAATATCTATATGCATGATTTATAATATTTTATTTACATCTGTGCATGTGCACACATTTTAGTATTAGTTGTATAGATAAGTACATAATGATAATTGATTATTAGTTGGGACCTTCTAACGTCGGGCACACTTCGTACATACCTAACAATATGTATCCCCTAATTTTACCACTACATTGATCAAAACTTCAATCTTAAATCTACATTTAATGCACAAGATAAAAAAAAGTATGTTGACAGTCTCGTACATCTACTTGTTACAACACCAATTTTCAAACAAAAAAAAAATCTCTCTCTTTCGGTGAATTTTTCCCGATTCCTCTCAGCCCGAAACTCTCATTTTTAGTCGCCTCCATGCCTCCTCGTAGTCGGCTGCTTAGATCTGTTGCAGCATTGACCGGCCCATGCGCGGCTTTCACCCTTCTTTTCTCTATAGGTGTTGTATTTTCCGGTGCGACGCTTCTCCATGATCAGGGTGCCTGCGGTGGAGGTTTGGGTCGACTCTTCGGCTGAGAAGGCAGGCTGTCGCATTCTATTTGCCTAGCTTTCGACGTGTGGGGTTAAGGTCGATGTCGGGTCCTTCCTCTGAATCTTGTCTGTCTTCTGGGATTGGGATGGGGAGATTACTCCAACGGGAGTTTTTTTTGGCTCTATTTCTAGGGCCTAGTTGGGGTTTTGGTGGGGAAGGAGTTGGTGTAGGCCTTCGGGGTGCGGCTCTGAGATTGGTCTTTGGTTTGGTTGGGGGTGGATCTATGTTAGCCGTCATCAGATCTTAGTGAAGAAAGTGACTAGATTTGCGTCTTGGCCTGGAGCCTGTCTTGGGGGTGTCATCTTCAGCTCTCGTCTCGTGCGGCGGTGTTTTGAAGCAGTTTGTCGGGTGTTGGTGTGGGCTTTGTTTTGTTTTTACTTTATTTTGTTTTTAGATGTTGTGAGTGTTTCTATATTTTTATGTGGTTGTTTTGGTGTTTATTCTCTCTTTGGGAGTATTATTTTCATTAGTGGGAGTAGTGTCTTATTGCGAGTGCGCTGTGGTAGTCTAGACTGCCATTTGGGTTGTCCTTTCACTAGATTCAGCTAGGTAGCTGCTTTGACTATTTCTGATTGTTGTCTGAATGTAAATATGCGTTTTTCTATAGACTCTGTCCTTAAAAAAAAAAGAAAGAAAGAAAGAAAGAAAAGAAATACCTATTATACCTTTACTTTAATATTGATTATAATTTATTTTACTGCATAAAAAAATGTATTTAAAATCAACAACATGTATAAAAAAATAATAATAATAATTGAAAAAATGTGAGCTACTAAGCCAAAAGCATATATGATGGAGAATGAATATCTTTAATTTAATTAATTATTTATTTCATTTATTTTGATTAATTATTATTAGTGGTATTCTAGATTTGTTAAGAATTTAATTATTTATTAATTTATTAAAACCCTTGTCTTGTTGGGCACGTTATTTAGTTAGGGCTTTTAGGGTTCTATTTAAGAGACTTTTTCTCTTATATTCAAAGGTCGATTTATGAAATAAATAACATCTTCTTGAGAGTTTGATCTCTTCTTGTTTTCCCTTTAGTACGTTTTCGCTACATCGGTTAGTATTCAGAGACCACAACGTTCCAGATGCCGCCAAGGAAAGCCAAAGCAACCGACGAGTGGCGTGATACCGCCTTCGAATCCTTAAACCAGCAAGTCGCGGATATCGCCCCGGGCTTTGGCTTACAGTTCGATGCCATGGGTCGTCATATGGCTGAGCTATCCGTGGGGCTAAAGGTAGTGTGTTTGGCCGTCCATACCGCATTCCAAAGCGATCGGTCGAACTTCGTGCCCACGACGAGGGGCACGACGGGATGCGCGGGGGTTGCGGCCATGGCGCATGCGGGGTGCCCCACTCCTATCGCCTCACTCTTGGGTCGAAGACGGTGGCGATGAAGACACCGTCTTTGAGTTTACTCCATTCAGTCATCAGGCACGTGATGACGACTAGTTCGCTGAAGGTCGGCGTTGGGAGTCATCGTTCCGAGTCGAGATTCCCAAATTTTTAGGGACCTTTGCGGACACGCAAAGGTCGACCAAATATGAGGGTTCGCCTCGTTTTGATGATGAGGGGACAACTGAGTATGAGGGTCTGCCGATTTTTTACGAAGAGAATTCTATGGTGTTGGTGGTGTCGGAGGGTGCCGTGGCAACTGTCGAGGATGAAACAATGGATTCCGCAAACAAAGAGGCCTCAATCACAAAACTGTAGATTTAATCTCCCATGGCGGTACTTGTCGATTTCTCTGATCACGAGTCGCTCGTCAAATCTGCTTATACTTCGCTCAATTCAAAGGGTGTTGCTAATAACTTTGTTAAGGAAGCTGAGAATAGTACAGATGATTTTTTACGTGTCATCGGCATTGTGTGTGGGTTGTATTGACAACTGCTAGATTGTGCCGGATTCGAGGGTGAAACCTTTTCGACATGGAGAGACTGATGGAGAACTGAGATCCTTAATTTAATTAACTATTTATTTCCTTAGATTGATTACTATTAGTGGTGTTCTAGATTTGCTAGGAAATTTCATATTTATTACTTTATTATGATCCTTGTCTTGCAGGGCAAGTTATTTAGTTATGACTTTTGGAGTTCTATTTAAGAGACCTCTTCTCTTGTATTCAAGAGTCGATTGTTTATGAAATAAAAAATATCTTCTTGAGAGTTTGATATCTTCTTGTTTTCCCTTTCGTACGCTTTCGCTATGTCAATATCAAACTTGAAGATCCAACTATTTTTGTCGCCACTCGCCGCCGGCCACCACCTTCAATTGTCGTTTGACTCCCACCCACTAGTAATGAATTTCAACAATTCATATATCATTTTGAATTTCTAGATTCGATCTTTTCAATTGCATTTTTATTCATCATATGATATATCG